GCAAGTATTGCTGACGTATCAATCAGGTTAATTCAGTTTGTTATTAGTTCATGTATATTCTCCTGAATCAACATGCAAGTGAAATTCACTAACTTACACACTTACAATTAGACTTCAATTCGTCTTCTTCAGTTCCAACAACCAAACACGTTTGAGTGCTCAAGGCAGGCCTTTGTGCCTAGAAATTCTTGCATGGAATAATGAAATAGGACTTCGGTTCTATTTTGTTGGTTTTCGGATCCGAAGTAATGGTTAAGAAGGACAGACGGGGGCATTTGTATAGCGGTGTTAGAGTTGAAATTCTGGGATCATCGCCAGATAAACTACAGCGAAAGCATTTGCCAAGAATGTTTTCATTGATCAGGAGCGAAAGTCAGAGTTTCGAAGACGATCAGATACCGTCGTAGTTCTGACCATAAACGATGCCAACTGACGATCCGCGATGGTTCTATAATTGACATTGCGGGCAGTCCCTGGGAAACCTTTAAGTCTTTGGGCTCCGGGGGAAGTATGGTTGCAAAGCTGAAACTTAAAGGAATTGAAGGAAAGGCACCACCAGGAGTGGAGCCTGCGGTTAAATTCGACTCAACACGGGAAAACTCACCCGGCCCGGACACTGTGAGGATTGACAGATTGAAAGCTCTTTCTTGATTCGGTGGATGGTGGTGCATGGCCGTTCTTAGTTGGTGGAGGGTATTTGTCTGGTTAATTCCGATAACGAACGAGGCTTTAACCTACTAAATAGTAGATTGGTCCTCTGTGCTCGTTCAGGGCGCGGCTTCTATTGCTTCTTTATGGAGTAGTGTAGTCGTAATCCGGTGCCAGTTTTTACTTCTTAGAGGGACAGACGGTACATCGAAGTCATATGAAACTGAGCAATAAAAGGTCTATGATGTCCTTAGATGTCCGGAGCCACACGCGCGCTACAGTGAAGGTGCCAGCGAGTCTGGGAATCTGGCCCGAAAGGGTTGGGCAGATTGTTTCATCACCGTCATGTCTGGGATCGGGGCTTGCAATTATTCCCCGTGAACGAGGAATTCTTGGTAAGTGCAAGTCATAAGCCTGCACTGATTACGTCCCTACCCTTTGTACACACCGCCCGTCGCTACTACCGATTGAATGGTTTAGTGAAGCCATCACATACTCGAATCTAGTCCGCAGCTTGGTGTTGATTCCACTGCACTGTATTGTAAGGTCCAAAGCTATTTACTTCTACTCAAAATTCTCTTTCCAAAGGAATGATAATTTTTATTTAGTCTCATATATGTGGTAGTTAACGTGGTAATTCAAACGAACCCATATATCTTTTGATGTTTCATACTACTTACTAGTTGAACTTACATTACTGAAGAATTCTATTGGGAGTCAGTGCTTAGTATTTTACTGTGATAAATCAATTTCATTCTTTTGGAAATATGCTACTGATAAGAATTTGTGAGTAGTATGTTGGCCATGCTTTTAGAAATAATCTTGAATCACTGACCAATGAATTAATTTACAAAGAGAAGAAATTTAGAACATTGTGAAAGAGTATAGAAAGCATGCAACGAAGGCACAACAAGCAGGATACGAAAAACGTTTTCAAATTGAAGTTTTTTATACTTTTGATTGGACATTAGTCAGTAACTAGTGCAATGTGTCTAGTCGTTTGTTTTGGTGCAGACTGAATTCTATCAGTCAAGTTTGTAGTGTGACTACCACTAAGCTAGGTAGCTCTCCATCACGGTGCAGTCAGAATTGTTGGCATAAGATGGTTGGAGGAAATCGTCTGGAAGCCTTGGACACCTAGGTTTCGTGTTAGTTGGCACTTACCAGTCAGAAAGGTATATATGCAGTCTTGAAGGAACTCATGTCCCTTCTGAGATTCAAACCCGCGTTACCCAGTGCTGCAGGCAGAGGCGTCACCACTGCGCTTCTCGGATTCGCGAGTGACCTCCTGTAGGACTGTCCAGTCAAAAGTATCGAATGCAGTCGTACAGGAGGTGAAACGCGCGTCCAATTAGCTCAGTCGTGACGTCTGACTGTAGCGCTCACTGGGTGACGCCGGTTCAAATCTCAGAAGGGACATGAGTTCCCTCAAGATTGCAGATACGTCTTGCTGACTGGTGAGCGCCAATAAGTACGAAAACCTAGAGGTGTCCAAGGCTTTCAGACGATTGCCTCCAACCGTATAGTACGTTTTACCATCGTAATGTACGCCATTTTGTCAAGTAAACAGTTCTGCTATCAAATATGACATTGTGTTTCGCCGTAACAACACTAAATTTAGTTGGGAAAGTATCTTGCGTTAAATATTACCGTTCTGATTACGTTATCTTGAGCGATTGACTTGTAAACGCTAGTTTTAAACTTCCCTTAAATTACAGTAATTTGGTGGATACTGACTAGCAGTGGAATCCCCCAGGATAAGCCACATTTCGTCCTATTTGGGACTCGTCAGCAAGTGAATGTACCTGTATTCCCCAGTAAGAAAGTGATGGTGTTACTACTGAAAATGGAACCCAGTACCCATCATTTCAAACGCCAAAGTGTTATCCACACAGACCACGACAGCTACCACGCCTTACGCAACAGGCATCATTAATTATTCCTTTATAATTCAAATTTGACTTTCCTGTTGATTAATTGGCCTGAGATACCTGGCCTCTTTTGACATGTCGGCTCCTAGTACAAAAAGTTTCGATGATATCTGAGGAAGCCGAACATTTTGTTCCAAATGAGTGAAGCGGTCAACGGGCTCTACCACTTCACTCCTTATCTTAAAGCTAGGAGTCAATATAGTCCAGTCCTGTAGCATCATCTTACATTTGACAAGGGCTAGTGAATCGCATGCCAAACCTTCGAAGATTGCAGCTTAAGTTGTTCAGAAGACTGCACTTTGTCAGCATCTTCACCTAGGTGGGAGGATTATATCATCTGCATATTCCAAGTTAACGAGATTATTCCCTGGTGGTAACAAGTCAATCCCTGAGTCGCTGAAACCATTTAGGATCAATTCCATTAGTACATCTATGATGAAATCAAACAGAAATGGGAACAGTGGCATTCCTGACGGACACTTTTCATTGTCATCACTTTAGATGACAACTCTCTATAGGCTCTCACCTGGCTGCGTTAATTCGAGAAGAACCTTGATTACTTTGATGTACTTTTATGGCACTTCCTTCACTGTCAAACATTGACACAGTACTTCTCGGTTGACGGAATCGAATTCCGATTTCAGGTGAAAAAATACGACAGTTGTTGGCCGCCATTAACTTCATCTGTGTTTCAGAATCTGTCGAAGGGTGAAGATATGATTAATACACTTTCTTCCTGGTCTAAAACCTTCCACGTTTTTTTGCATTTTTTCTCCCGAGCACTACTCAATCTACGCATGATTACTGAGCCTAAAACTTTAGATATTATATTAGTCAAGCTAATCTCTCTATCATTATATCACTGGAAAACTTATCCCCTTCTTGCACACAGAGATAATCAATGACTACTTACAACAGTCCAATACAAATAAACACTGAATACGTATCGCACTGCTAAAAATCCTCTGCATCACCTGGCTGACTGATTTCAACATAGAACTTTGCACAGATGTGCATCAAATCGAGTTGCCACATTCCATATAGTACACAGAGCAAGAGAAGACAGTAAAGAGAGATAATAAACAGAAGTGTTAGGGGAAAAAACCAGTAATATGGAAGAACAATAGAGTTTTATTGTGTATGACAAATCACAAAGAATGAATGCATTTGCGCCATCATGGGGAATGATTTTGAATCATATCATCGATTATCTCTAATCATTGGTACGCCAACGAGAAAGCCTACACTTCCTTATGTAGCTTAAACTAGCTGTTATGGATTTCACCACACTAGATCTTTTCCGACCTCATCTTAAATCATGGAAAATTCCCATTGTAACATATAGAAAATCAAAACAAGTGGTGATTCAGCGAAGAGACTCTTTTCAACGAATTTATCATCAAGCTGTACAATCGTATATATATATATATATATATATATGGTTTTTAAGAAGTTATATCCGGTGAGGGAATTGAATCATAAGTGTGAATGCATAAAATAATAATATGAAATGCAATTAAAACTAAAAATGTTTGTGATTATAATCGTAGTTAAATGTCAAGTGGCAAAGCAAATTAATGTCATGCATAGAGTAATTCATAGGATGGATAGAACTTGAAAAAGGGTGTGCAATTATAAGATTAGTAGACAAAGCGAATAAAATAGAAATGTTACGTAACAAACATCGTGTGAAATTTAATAACATAGAATTGAATGTTGTAAAAAGGAATTGATTTAGAATGACAAGTGGAACAAGTGCGTCGGTGGCACAGCGGTTAGGACTCTCGCCGACCATGCACATGGTTCGAGGTTCGATCCCCCACCGATGCACACCTGATATCTATGGTCGGCCTGCTAAATTTGGGCTACCGATATCACCGGGGACAGTTAAAAATGAGAGTAGTAATAGTAACAATTGACTTAATAAGGAAGAGTATACAAATTGAATAGACAAAAAAGAAAACTTGGTAGAGCTAAAATATGATTGGGGATTACCATACTTTAGCATAGTAGAGGGATTAAGACCATGGAAGTTGGAACTTTTTCTGTACACAGAGATCTGGCTTTTCTGTTTCGATAGCCAAACCATATATTATGTATACGATTGTAAAGCTTGATGATAAATTCGTTGAAAAGAGTCTCTTCGCTGAATCACTTATTTTGATTTCATCTTAAGTCAGCTAAAATTGCTTGTCGAGGAAGACGATTGCTACACGGATGCATGCGTAACACATCTCTTAGCCATTTGAATCTATGTAACTTCATAACCTCATCGATTGATTTCGCCTCCTCACCTAATAATACTCGACGACGCCCAACCTGTTGATTCCACATCAACAGTACTAACAGAAGTTACTCTAAAAGAAAAGAAAACTCGGATCGATAAAACTGACACTGAAATTTTGAAAAGTATTTAATATAAATATATACAGAAAGAAGAAGAGAAATCATATCTAAGATTAGAAAAAAAAGAAAGAAGGGTCAATTATCCTTCATATTGTTTTCTGTACTATCACTATCAATACTACTACTACTACTACTGTTAGTGGTAGTAGTAGAGGATTTCTTTGTCAAACCTTCACGTTCTTTAAAAGCCATTTTTGCTGCTAAACGTTTTTTTGATTTTAGATACCGCTGATTTTCTTTTGCTTTTTCTTTTCGACGAATTTGCTCAATAGTACTCTCTTCACCATTGTAAAATACATCGAGTTTATCATTTAATCTTCGACGTGCCAGTTCACGATTTCTTTCCAATTCTCTACTGTCCTATAAAACAATAAGAGAAGAAGAAAAGAAAAGAAAGAAAGAAGAGTAAAGCATTTTGTATGAAAGACAGTTAAATGTTTAAATAGCTTCCTGTCGGACATCAGTGAGTGGTCTAGACTAAATGGCCTTATGCTAACTAAATCCCTCAAAATGCCAGACTATTGACTTCTCCTTTAGGCATAAATGAGATCTACAAACACTAGTAAGTACTCATGAAGCCTGTAGCATTAAGGGGACGTAAACTGAAACCAAGTCTAATGCAAAATACCTTGGTCTAGTCCTGTCTTCCAACCAACCTTACTTGGACATCTCATATCCTAACGATTTCTAAGAAAGGGTTGCGTCTAACCTAAGACTACATTAAGAAACTTAGACTATCTGGAATCCCCCAACCTCTACTTTCACAATTTGTCAACTCTTGTATCTTACCTATTCTACTTTACTGCTCCCCGTTAATCTTTCCTGGGCTACTGAAAAAGGACTATACCATCCTGAGAAGGATGTTGATGAAGGTAATTAGTAGGACTAGTGGTGTAAAACTCAGTCAGCTCGTCACTACATTAGTAGAAAGGCATCTGAATACATGCGAAAAATGGTCTAAAACCATACTCTCCAACCCCCAACACCCCCTCTATTCCCAACTCTCTCCTTGTATCTCATCAAGTAGAACCAGAAATCAGTATAAAATAATCTATGCTCGTACAGCCAAGTACATGAACTCAACGATACCATATTTGGCCCGTGTTCTAAGTGATAGAGACAATGTTAAGCGCGAAACCTATGACTTGCTTTGTTGTTAATAATCATAATTTTAGGCTCTTTTATTTCTCTCTTATTTTGTATTCTATAGTGAACTCCTTCTTAAACACACTTAGCTACCTAAATTATTAACATTGGCTTACTTTTTGTACTTTATTCTATTCCTTCTTTTGTGTATCTACTGGTTCCGATTATATTAGCACTATGAGTATTACAAAATTGTCCTGTCATTAACCATCATGTAATATTAGTTTTGTGGTTGTTTTTCTTATTTTCTATACTTTTCCGCAATATTAAACTGACAATCATTGGTTGTGAACGCCATAGTCACCACTTTAAAAAATTTTGTATTATTCAGGATTACTCACACTACCACTACAAACACTATATTAGACCTGACAATAAAAAACAAAACAACAACCCTGAAATGTTATTTTATGATTGTTTAGAGTTGTTTCAACCAAATTAACTGACCATCTTGGCGATAAACATTCTTAAATATCATTTCATAACTTCTTGTATGACTATAGCTTTACTGTCACCATGCATAATCATATCATAGCTTCCACTACCCAATACTGAGATATTATTTATTATGCCGTTTATTTTTCTTTCTACTTCTTGGCATTTTTTTGCCACTTTTTTAAAATTATTTTTGTGTTTTATTTCGTTGTCGTTTTTATATTTATTTTTTGAAATACTCCTTTTAAATGTTTGATAAAATTAGATGCAAATATTGTAGATATGTGCTGAAAATTCCACACTGTACCACTACTACTGTTTCTGGAATAAAGCAAATTATTATTATTATTATGTTAATAAAATATGAAATAAGATAACTGTATATACATTTCCAGTGATTTAACTAGTTGGGATCTCTTCAGTCGTGTATACATTTGTCTTTAATAATTTATACTACCTACCTACAAAGTAGATACGCCTTCATCAACCGGACGGAAACCAGTTTAGAAATCTTCTACTGTCACACTCAGTGTCAGCATATAAAAAACCAACATTCGAATTTTCAACACAAATGTCAAGTCAGTCAGTTCTTCTAAACGGGTCAGAAACTTTTATTGGGTCGAGGGTCACGCAAAGGATTTCCAACAAGTTACAGACTTTTAACAGTAGCAACAAGCAACTCTGGCTGACGAGAAACAAACCAACCAAGAGCCGACTGTTTAACAAATATGTGGAATAAAGTGGAGATGGATTGGGCTGGGCATACGCCACTGAGGAGGCCGTCGAATGACATTGCGCGTGATGCAGGCCAACGCTCGAGTGGAATCCCAATAGAAAGCGATGATTGGGTCATCTCTGTGAGAATGACATGGAGATCGTATGGTGAGGGATGAGAGAATATGGGCAATCGTGAACCCAACTGAAGAGGACGGCAGCAAATGGGACAAAGTGGAGATGCGTTGTTGAAGCCACCCCTAAGTTACACTCGGAACCCAACGGAATAATAATAATAATTCATATAAAAAGTAATACGTTTTTTTCTATCACCATACAATATAATAATATTAATAAGCTATTGGCTGCCTTTTAATTCTTTGTCATTGTTGTTCAGTTCGACCGTCACACGGACAGTCTATACTGGTACGCAACAGTTCAATAATCTCAGTCTCAGAAATATATTTTTATGATCAAAGACAACTAGTCAGGCTTATGATGTCTCCCACTTTCAACGGCTATGTCTCACAAACATAAAAGCGGACAGAGCGAACTGCTGAGCAGTACACACGCCCTTAGATAGGTAGCCAGATATCACATATATACGCCAGAGATGATTTCGGTTGGCAAATCCCACACGAGCCTTCTGTATCCATGATGAGATTTCGTCAGCTATCATTCCGTTGGGGCTGATGCGATTTACCCAAATAAGTGAAGTGGTCAACACGCCCCATCAACCACTATACTCCCTAAACTTTAAGTCAGGAGTCAATGTAGTCCAGTCCTGTAGCATCCATCATCTTACACTTTACAGGAGCAAATTGCCTGACAAACATTCGAAGATTTCTGCTCAAGGTGTGTTTAGATGACTCTCTACATTTTATCAGCGTTTTCACACAGGTGGGAGGACTATATCCTCTGCATAGTCTAAGTTAATGAGACTATTCCCTGTTGGTAACAAGTGAATCCTTAGGTCTCTGCTCTGGTGGACACGTATCTAAACAAGGTGAACAGCAGTCAGGTGATTTTCTCACTCCAATAAGGTTACTAAAAATCAGTGATAATAATAATGCATTGTGAAAACTACTTTTACAACAGTTACACTTTTGTTTTAATTTTCCTTATGATAAAATTAATCACTATGGAAAAAAGCTTCGCTTGATTTAATTACTTAACACTTGAAAAAAAGGGGCAATGTTCTTACGGAAACGTTCTGAAATTCGACACCTCGTTTTTATTTGTTCTGTAACGAGATGTGTATCTCATTTAAACTCTTTGCTTTAAACAACTACATGGTTATTTATATGTTGAAATCAGAATGCTGCTTATTTGTGTTTGTAGAATAGAATTTCCATAGTGATATACCATATTTTGACGACAAAAATCCAACGTTCGTGTTTACGAACGAACACATGAAAATTGTACAATGTATTGCACCTGTTTGCATGATGCGGTCTATAACAAAGGTAAGATTTCAACGAAATATCCTAAAGATTTTCATATGTCCAACCAAACTGTTAAGATGTAGTGTAGGTGGACAGTTAAACTGACAAACTACTTATGTGATGACAGTGTGTTTTGTTGAGTATCTCGTCAGTAATCTTACACAACTCATTCTTTCGACATATATATCTTCAAATACACAGGTTTGCGCTGAACAATCGATTTAATGGCAAAGTTCAACAATAGCGTCCCAGGAGTGCGAACGCACGAGTGACCTTCAGCTGACCAATCATGAAAATGTTTGCTCAAAAATGATGTATATTGACAAGAAAATACTTCAAAACGCATTAAACAGGTTATCTTTCTCTAACATGGCTTAAAAATACGTCCTAGTTGTAGCGAGGAGTATCAGTTGCTAAGTTAGACTAGTTTCTGTACATGTATTCACCGAGATGATTACGGATAAACTGTTTTTGTGAATCGTTTATCTCTCTCATCCTGTTTGCAGTCTTCCAAAAAGCCCTCAGTTGAATTATTATAGTTTCCAGCAAGAGGATAAATGACTACTTACCAGGAAAACGTGGATAACAAAAAAATTAAAATAAATGACATCAACTATAAATCTATCCCTAATCGTAACCATAAGCTTAATCCTGACCCTAACACTGAACCTAAACTTAATCCTAACACTAATCATAACCCTTATTCAAACCGTAATTCTAACCCCAATGCTAATTATAATCCTGATCCTAACCATAACCCCAATACTTACCTTAACCCTAATCCTAACCCTAACGAGCTATTACAACATTGTCCAAACATTACTTAAAAGCGTGATCTGGGTGAAATGTGCTCCTAAGTTGGTGAACAGCATTGATATTTCAGCTATGATAATGACAGATGCCGTTAGCCAACGACTAGCATGGGTTCAAGGTCATTGGAGCATCCTGGGAAGCTATTGTTGAAATTCACCGATTTAATGTCCTTTCTGGATATCCAACCTAACTGAGTTTTCAACAAGGAGTCTGGCACATTAGTCCAACAGTTCAGGTTACCACAGTATATATAGTACACAAAGGTAAAAACAAAAAATCAAAGGGGCTATAACAAACGGGTTGCATCAGTGGTCCAACGATAGAACGTGGTCCAGGTTCGATCCCCAGCCAACGCACTTCTAAACACCTCTCTAATAGCAGTTCGGGCATGAGGCTGGCAAACCCATCTCGTAGAAAAACACCAACGCTACTGAAACTTCAAAGTTCTAGCCTGAAGCCCTATGTCCCACCCAGAAGGTAGAGGAATTAAACAAATAATAAATAAATAATGATCGGAAACAGTTTTTTTATTATAGCTTGACTCCACACAGTATTTTTGATACAAGTATGAAATTTTCAGCATGTGATATCGGTAGGCCAAATTTTGCAGGGCAACCATTGATATCGAGAATGCGTCGGCCGAGAATCGAACCCCGGATCATTTGCATGGTCGGCGAGTGTCCTAACCGCGATAGAAAGAATAATTACGTGAAGAATAATAAGAATTTAATGGATCTAGGAGTGAATCTAACTGAGCCATTGAGGAAGATTTTGAGTCATGCCACCAACAGTCTCTCTACCCACCAATTCTTAGAGTCTCAAGGACATGAGTCAAGCAGTCTACACCTCCGTACGTTAATCATGCCAGGTTTTTGATTTGATCACCCCAAATACTCTTTTCCAACCTAATCTTATGTCAGCTAACACTGCTGGACAAGGAAGGCGATGACTAGGCATCCATAATACATGTGTCTTAGCCATTTCAATCAATTCAGGGTAATAACATCGTCGATTGACTTGCCCAAACACTCTATGCCCAACCTAGTAAACCAATTAACACGGAAGACAGAGTACAGACATCTATGGTCTTTTTTATATCATTCATTTTCAACGGACACCTCTCACAGCCATGTAAAAGAACAGGGCAAAAACTTCTGTGGATTACATATCCTTTGATTGATAACTGGATGCCACTTTTACGCTAGACATGATTCAAGTTGGTGAATCCAACACGGGCCTTCTCTATCTGGCCTCCAAAGCCTCAGGATGGTCGGGGGTGGGTGCCTTGCGCTGCGGGTTGGCCACCCCTCCGCACACCTCTTGAAATGCTCCCATATGACCGGGCGTCTTACATAGCCTCTCCTGAGGAAGTCCTACTCACTGCCTTCACGTGGCGGAGGTGTTTTTCACCAAAGCGAGAGGGCGAAAGCGGATGCCCGGCGCTCTTCACCGGGTTGACTGTCCATTGGATGACAGTCTAGGGGAGATGGCTAAACCCTGATTCCAAACCTCCAACGACTGGCGTATGAAGCTCACCGGCAGACGTATGGACAAAGGGCTTGTTGGATGTCTGGCCCCATTCAAAAAGGCGTATGAACCGAACTCCGATCATCGGCTGCAAATGGATAGTGGACTCCCTACTCCACTCCTACTGCCTTGTAGGTGACACTTGGTTGTGTAAAGGCTAGAGCTGCACTCTCAAACAAAAGGCCGAGCGATTCTGGGGACATCACTCGTATCAAATTCCCATGAAACTTCATGAACTCTCTTACAAAGATGTTCATGAAGCCGGCTCCTCCTCCCGTAGGAGATAGCCGAAGTACAGTAAGTAAGTGCTGAGCTTTCGTCAGCAACTAGTCCATTAGGACCGATACAACTTCATAAATAAGTGGTGACCAACTGACTATTTCTCAACATGGAACATTGAATAGAAGTGTAGTAGTTGAAGTTGCTGTAATTCATGTAGCATACAAATGTATGGCAAAGAGAGATTCCATAGAATTATAATGAGTAGAAATGTGTGGGAAAAAGAATAGTAACATGGGAAAAAAATACACGTTAATGAATATGGATAATCACAAAGAGCGAATGAATCTGCATAGTTGAAAACAGTTTTCAGCCATATCACAGACAGTCTCAAGCCATTAGTTCATTGAGTCCCCAGAATGCTAACCAGGAAGTCGACAACTGGCTAAATGACTTGAATCAACAGCCAAAGACTTCATGGACTGATGTCAGGTTTTGATTGAACCATCCCTGAGTCTTTTCCAACCTAATCCTGTGTTAGCCAGGTGGCCAACACACTGAACCATCATTTCAGAATGGGATTCGATGCAGACCACTCCTGGAACATCATCTTACATTAAGCAAGGGCATATTTCTTGATCTTGGCCAGGTATAATACATGCGCATCAACATAATGACTGTTTTGGATGCAGCAGGTCGGGTGTGAGGACAAATACTCGCCGCCGCCATTTACATTCGCTGATGGTCGCGCTATGCCATGAATTGGCAGAAGTGAGAATTCATGGGCTGGCCATTGGATCGGGTGCAAAGTTCTATGTTGAAACCAGTCAGTCATCTTTGAGAGATATCTTTACCATTCAATGGTTATTTAGATTTTTTGTCGTAGTAAGCAGGAATACACGCTGATGATTATTGGTAGGAGTTCACTAATTCTTATATGACTATTTGATTGTCGTTGCATAGTTTATGATTGATTTATGTGTCATTTCTGTGTAAATTATACTTTACCAATAAATAGTTTTACTTGCATACTTAATCTGCTATACTTAGAAAAAGTAGACAAATTAAATGTACAAACACTCTGCTGAATTAGAATGTGAAAAATAAACTACAGTATAAAAAATGGACATGATAACTACCTGACATTTCACCACAATACCAGTAGGAATATGTTTTAAAACAACACAATTTGCTGTTGTATTAATTGACTGACCGCCTGGACCCCATCCTCGAACATACATTTCAGATAGATCATGTTCATTGAAGAGCCATTGTTTTTTGTTACAATACAATCTGGACGATATATCATTTAGGGATAACTTGCATTTTGTCAGAGAATAACATATCCTCAACATGCCAAAAATTCACTTTATTGAGACATCCTAGGATTGGAGAAAAGAAAACCACTAAAAATACTGATAGAAACAGAAAATTACATGGAAGGGTCGGTGGAAAAAGGCGTCACACAATTTTCTTACGGTTACACATTCTTTTCCCAATGTCAGTTATATTTAACTCTACACTGGTGTGCATAGTTAATAGACAAGGTATTTTAAAACCTTATAACCCAAATCTTTACTTAGTACAGTTAGGGTTATGAAGCTGTGGAACCGTAACCGACTGACGCAGAAACTTGACTCAACATATAAAGCATATAGTGGTTAGGACTCTCGCCGACCATGCACATGGTCCAGAGTTCGATCCCCTGCCGACGCACACCTGATATCTATGGTCGGCCTGCAAATTTGGGCTACCGATATCACATGCTGAAAATTTCATACCTGTACCAAGAAATACGGTGTGGATTTAAGCTGTAATCAAAAAAAGAAAAAAAAATAGTTTGGAAACTGTTCCACTTTCTGAAGTTATGAAATCAGGTCCGACATTTAACAGCCCACTACACGAAACTACAAATGGTCATTAAATCGCATTTATAGTTCAAAAGGCGACACATTTTACACGTGAAACTGATACTACAAAACCATGGAACACCCAAAATAAAATTAGTCTCAATGTATTGGTAATTTTATTAAGGTATGCACCAGTAGATAAAAAGGACAAAATACAAGCCAGCCTTTTCGGATGTCAACTCCAATTATTTAGAAATGTGCATTGTGCAAGTCTGCATTGCGTTAAAATCATACGTAGTACTGCACAACAGCGGTCACTGTACAGTTAAATTTTAGACCAAAATAAAATAGACTGAAGCGTTTTCACAAAGAGTCGTACAAATGTCGCAGTCCAATATACTTTCCTGCTGTTCCATCCCTAAACTTGCATGAATGATAAACTAATCCTAAAATATGCAGTCTAATACTATATTAATATTTCGTGACCTTAAAAACCCTAGTATGCAACGAATTATTGCGGGTAGTGCTTCAAAATTCCACTGGACGCCTAACTAGTGCGATGAGTACTGGATTAATGCTGGCCAGTGCTGAATCAGGGTTGAGATTGCTGTAAGGATTCTGGAAAATAAGCAACAGTAGACCCTGAACTAAAGGTTAGTTTTGACTAGGTCGACTACTGTCGGTCTGAATTTGTTAGTATGCCAAATTTGGTTATTTTTTATTTGAATTTATGTATTACTAATGACTAATTCAGATTCATTGTAATGCAGTTCAGCAAAGTTAGCTCTCATCGGTTGAGGAAGTACATGCGGGTTACTCCCATTGGTTGATTTCTAGCGAATGCCCCCATCAATTTGCGATGCGCTCTAAGTCTCCCTTAAATTTTCTGCAATGCGCCTGAAATCGTTGCTAGTTCATGAACTAGAATTTCGACAGACTTATTCAAAGACAGAAGAATGGCGTAGGCAAGTTTTATCATCCATGACATCTTAGGAGCTCATCATTTTATTTTATTTTAGAAATAAAGGGGAGCAAATTAGTCATACCCTAATGTCTCCTGAGACCAATTAATGCGGAGTGATAAAATTCCATATCTCAGGTCAGTGGTATATAAGCACACAAATAAGTTGCCTAATTCATTGTATTGTGTTTGTTATTCATTTTCATCGCGCAGTTGGTTTGCTTTATAATAAATATAATAATTTTGAAAATATCATGTGAAAGTGCAACGCAGTCAGCAAACTTACCGCGGCATCCAATGAACAGCTGTGGTAATATTCAATATCCAATATCCTGCTTACGAGCTAGTATAAACCAGTGATTTCTTTGAGCTCGCTTCTTGATTGTAAGGTAGAGGTTCCAGATCTTCGGTGAACTTATGCGTAGTAAATCCCACCACTCGACTGCTTTAGCTCTGGTAGACTCCTAGAGGAGTGGTGCGAGGATTGGTCAAGATTGTGGTTTGTAGTGTGCAGTATGTTAGGACTCAGCTGCTGCCGTGAATGGAGTTTGACCTAACACCCGTTGGTCATTTGGTGTAGTCATAATAGTAGAACAATAATAGGTTGTAGTGTAGATAATACAGGTTGAGATAAGTGAAATAATAAAGGTGAAATAATAAAAAAAGAAAGAAAAGATAGAGTAGTCGGTACAGTGGGAGAAGACAGGACGGGTCGTGGGGATTTAGCTTGTATGCTTATCCATTGACAATGTGGTTTCAAATTTTAAGAGGATAAGCCATTGAGACACAAACCATGCATTTCTACATGATTGTCCAGCTTCCGCTTATAAGTCTCCACAGATGGCGCTGTAGTTACGGTCGCCGGTAAAGCGTTCCAGAGACGGCAAACTCGAAGCGAGAAGAAATGTGAACGCACTCAAGTCCTTGGTCTCTGGTGTGCTATCCTTAGCGGGTTACCTCGTGGAGGCCTATAATCACTTAATGGCAGGATGCTCTTATTAGGATGGCCTGGTCGTTTAAGATCTTATAGACGGTGATGAGGTCTCCCCTGTGACTACGGTAACTAAGTGTGAAAAGACTTAATTTCTTCGGTCTTTCCTCATATGATTTGTTGCGGAAGCTGATCACCCATTTTGTCGCTCGTCTCTGGACACTTTCTAGAATGTTAGCACCCCTTTTGAGTAGCGGAGGAGCAATGATATTATGCACCTCAAGGAGTGGCCTCACGTATGTCGTATACAACCTTAAGAATAGTTCATGAGTAAGAGCTCCCAGTTGCCTATGCATAAAGTGTAAGGCTGCGTGAGCTTTGGCGACCATCCTCGTGTAATTTACACTGGTGTCTAGCTTTTCTGTTAAAATAAGACCTTGGTCGCGTTCTGATGGCACACAACTCAAGTTCTGGCCACTAAGGGTGTAATTTACACTCTGTGACCTGCCAGAATGAAGTTGCACTACTTTGCACTTCTTTAGGTTGAAAGGTATTCCATTAGCCAGAGCCCAATCTCCCAGAATTTGCAGGTCAGCCTGCAATCTGTCGGAGTCTTCCGATGAGTTTATTGCTCTCCAAATCTTTACGTCGTCAGCGTAGAGAAGCGCAGAGCAATTCAGTTGACAGGGCAGGTCGTTGATAAAAGTCAAAAACATCAACGGCCCTAAGGCAGAACCCTGAGGAACCCCTGATGCCGAGGTGTGCCAGGATGATCGGATGCGGTTGACTTTGGTGCAGAATTCTCTCTCGCCTAAATAATCTTCCAGCCATGCGAGAAGTGCTCCAGAAACACCCGCTTTGCTTATTTTGTGAAGGAGCAGACCATGGTGAACTGTGTCGAGTGCTTTCGCAAAGTCGAGAAAGATCACATAGACTGGTACCTTTACATCCCAGGATAGTGTCCAATCGTTCCAAGCTAGTAGAAGATTCGTCACACAGGATCTTCCCCTCCTGAAACCGTGCTGTGCTTCATGGAGTAGGTTAGTCCCGTCGAAGTATTTTCTCATGTGGTCGTCAATGAGACTTTCCAATATCTTCGATATCACTGGGAGTAGCGCAACTGGTCTGTAACTGGTCGCGTTCTGCCGGTCACCACCCTTGAAGATGGGGGATAGGATGGCTCGTTTCCATTCACATGGAAGTTTCCCTACATCAAAGGAGTGTTGAAACAGATCACTTAGGGGTTGGCAGAGACTTTCTGAACGCTGCTTCAGGACGGATGGTCTTATGTCATCGCAACCTGCAGACTTTCCCGAAGCCAACTTTCCCAATTTTACGAGTACCATAGCCGGGGTAATTTGAAATGTACCCAGCAGGTTTCGCACGTTGGTCTTGCGTTGCAATCTTGATGTTTTGTGGGGGTAAAATCCTCGTTACTGTTTAGTTGCCTGTGAAAGGCTAGATTGAATGTCTCTGCCATTTCAAGACTAGTAAGAGATTTCCCATCAGAACCCACTAGTTTGCAAGCTCCCTGGTTGGTCGGTTTTCTTTCACACATAAACCTGTACAGGCTTTTGGGGTTCACGAGAAGCTTATTGGCGAGGTTTCTCTGAAATGTCCTTCTATCACTCCGGACTCGTATGTTACATCGATTCCTGAGTTCGAGGTACACTTCATGTTCGGGTTGACTCTTCGATACTCGCCACGCAAACCAGGCTTTTCGCTTCGCCTGTAGAGGGCGTTGTGTCCCCCTTTTTAGCCATGAACGTTGCTTTCTAGCTTTTGGTGTGACTAAAGGAACAGTGTCTGAGACCGCTTGGTGAATGATCTCCTTTACCATTCCCCAGTGTTCTTCTACTGTAAGCGCTGTCCAATTCTTAGGCCAATTTGCTTCAGACAAAAGTATTCGCATTTCGGTGTAATTGGCTTTGTTATAACACAGATAGGGCTGTGCATTGTCCCACTGTAAACGCTCGCGGAGGACTATATCGAATGTTATGACCGCGTGGTCACTACTACCTATGGGAGTCGTGATCTGAACGTTTTCCACTAGTAGCTGGTCACTAGTGAGCACATAATCCAGTCTAGAAGACTTTCCATCTGGGCCCCATCTAGTATCCATTCTGACATTTTCAGTGAATCCGGCCTCCCTGATGGTATGCAGCAGATTTCGATCAAATCTATCCTGGGCATATCCCGTCATCAAGTTAAGAGATGGGGCATTGAAGTCTCCAGCTATGACAATTTGATCATAACCCATGTCTTGTGTCGCTGAAATTGCATTCAGCAGTACCTGGTTGTGGTCTGCTCCACACGAAGCTGCCCACTAGATACTTACAGTACCCAACGGTGAAATGGCACCATATGGAGTCAGGGAGCTCAATGAGGGGAGGGTAGATTGCATGGATACATCTGAGCTGTTTGTCGACGTATATGGCGACTCCACCTCCTTCTTTCAGATCCCTATTTCGCCTGACTAGGACCATATCATTTATACTGACTTCGCTGTCTGCCACCGTAGGGGTTAGCCAGGTTTCCGTCAGTATTATGATTTTGGAGTTCAGCTGCGATTGTAGGTATCTAAGTTCAGCTATTTTGCCTCTTAGACCTCTCACATTACTGTACAGGCAACTGGTAGTCGATCTCACCACGTCCCCGTATTGGGGGGTTGTTGACGTGATGTGGGCTGTCGGTTGAGGAGTTATCCTACGAACTAGTTGGCCGATTCCCCGGGAACCGGCCTGTTGGCGTTTTTTCTTCTGATTCAACCGGAGCACTTGGATGACACTGGCTATCATCGTCCGTGCTGCACCACTGCATTGTGACTAGGGGTTGGGGGTGTTCTATGACAACGTTTTGTTCTCTCCTTTGGGTACGAGGCCGGCTCTCGCAGCAGCGAATGTGTCTGCTGACCTTGTCCTTGGTCTCGTACCATCTCTGGAGAGCAGTAGTCAAGTGGTCTCGGGAGCTGAACTTAACAGCTAACAGACGTGGCGTGTTAATTGACATAAGGTGAGTGGGTCGAGGCAGTCTATAAATAGAGACAGCCCCTGAACTTCTCAGACCCATCTGGGGTGCCAACCATCTCCATTGCTGTACATCGTGACAGTGCTTCTCACAAGCGTTCACAGTTACCAGTTCGGGAATGCCGTGAACAACCATGGAGGCAGAAGGAATAAGCTCTTGCGACTCCCTCACCATCTGTCTTTCCTTCCATGGCCTATCTGGCCTAACACGCATATTACAAGTCCTCCCAATAGAAAGGACTTGGGAAGTCAGTAAAACTTTTTCGGCATCCTCGGTAGAGCCTAGTGTTACCCTCAGTGGGGATGGTTTGCCTTGAGGAGCAGCAGTGCCCCTATACAATCTGCATAGTTTTACTGGTTGGATGTCCAGACCCAGTGTGCTACATAAGTTGGACCATTGTTCCTGATCAAACAGGGCCCTATTTTCCAGGAGACTACTGCTACAGTCTGGTACATTAAAGAGGATAACGCAGTCTGATCTACTAACCGTGGATTTAGGTTCGGTCCTCGCACATTTGTCATCCCCCTTAAGACCGTTTTGTTTCGTCTAGTGCGACTGGATATTGTTGTGTGTCTCAGTGCCGTGGCCACTTTTACTGGTGGACGGTAAGGGTCTTTTCCCAGCGACAGATACCCTTGGTGCTTCAACCTCTGTGTCTGGGAATTGCAAGTATAACCGGTGTGGATTTTGGTATCCCCGATTTACATGCAATTGTGGTGTTTTCTGAGTTGGTGGGAGTAAAACGTTTCACGTTTTTTCCTGATACCTCTATGCCATCTTTAGCTTTCGAGGAACTACACGAGGCTGCATTAGGATGGCAACTTGGGCATATGTACCAGAACCATGGGCATGGGTTCTTACGCATAAAATCGTAATATACCTTTGGTACTCCGGTGTCACATCTACAGTGTACCCATTGCTTACGAAAGTTGCATTCGAAAACAGAGTCTACTTGTTCGACAACAGAATTGCCGACCTTGCAATCGTCTGCCTTCTTGGGGAACGTTTTCGTCGTCTTGCGACGCCGTGAACGTTTCTTATTGGCCTTCCTGTTTGTTTCAAGGCCTACTGTGGATATGGGTGTTATTCTATTCTCACTTTGTGCAGATTTACCACTCGTCTCTATTAACCTAGTCGTGTTAACAGGGATGGAGCCACATCCGCTTAGTTGACTTTTCACAGTTTCACTGTAGGACTGCGGCGACATGGGCAATCTGTCCACGCAGGGAATATTTACCCTGGTCTTCAAGACCGGTATGCGAGATTCCATCACCTTCACCTGTTTGCCTAATTTGGCTGAAGCCCTGGTGACTACGGT